TGAGGGCCACAGGGAAAGCAGCAGCATTAAGAGCTGAGACCCCACCAAGACACCATTACTGACAAGGACCCAACAGCACAGAATGGAATGGAAGTCAGGGCTAAAGTTTCAAAACAAGTGATATAAGAGGGATCCAACACACAGAACTGCCTTTAAAAAAAAGATGGGAAAAAATTTAAAAACGCATTTAAAAAATTCATGAAGCATTTCCAGGAATCAGTTGAGACTTTGATCTGCACATGTGACATTTACATAGCTTTCAGGGGGTCGGGGGAGGGGAGAAAGATAGCAGTCAGTCAGTATCAACTCATGTATTCTGTTCCAGAAAAGGATCAGTGTTCCCCCAGGGTGTGACATTTGTCTTAAATCACTATCCCCTCTCATTTTGTACTTCTGCTTGCTTGGTAGTCAGGGAGCCAGCTGGTGGCCTGATGGTTAAGGCAGCTGCATTCCATATGGCCAACTCTGTGGTTTGAACCCTGGACCCAGCGTCTTGAGATACATGTCAGGCATATGCATGTGTATGTGTGCCTAAGGTCCCAAGAAGAAAATGGATTTCTTCATGGCCATCCCACCTGGGGAACTGATTTTTCACTTTCTTCCTGTCTCTCTGAGGAACACACACCCATTCATGAAACAAACAAACAAAAAATAAATAAATAAATAAATAAATAAATAAATAAAAGGTGGTTGGGGATGGCAGGTGAAGCCCCTCTAAGACTGATTTTCTATTCTTGTTTTATGTCTTTATCAATAATGTTTGATTTCTAAATTTTCACTCTATCACTCTAAAACCAAAACTTGTAGACTATATTACTTATATTTAACAAACGAATAGTTTCATCATTCAAAAAAATCTTATAATTGTACTAATCACTCAAAATATGTTCTTTCCCCCATAGTGTGTATGTACTCACAGGAGAGACAGTGAGAGCGAAAGTGAGCAATCACACTCTGGGGGAATGGCCACATCCCTTCTCCATCCTCCTACTAGGATCCTGGAATCCTGGGCACATGCACACATACACACACACAGTGTTATTCTCAAGCCACCGGGTCTGCGGCTTGAACTGTGGTCAGCCATGTGGGAGTCCAGTGCCTTAATCACCACGCCACCTACAGGCCCCCAAAATGTGTTTTCAAATTCAAAAAAAGAGCTCTACAGGGCAGCAGTAACATGTTCCTCAGAAAACCCATATCACATGGAAACTGTGGTTTAAGCCCAAATTCCCGGCCTGGACAACCTGAATGCACACTAGGCAAACACAGGAGCATTCAAGATCTGATGGGCTGGAGGAGGGAGATCTCGGTATGACTAGACCCTGTGGAGGGTACTCAGCTCTCTCTCTCTGACTCTCTCACTCGTGTGCGTATGCATATACCCTATCATGAATAAAGAAAATAGTAAAAATGTGATTTTAAAGCGGGGTCAAGTTCGAAGCTGTGCTAGCAGCTGGTCTTTGGACTCCACCCACTTCTCTGTGTGACTGCCCATACACTTTACTTGGAGTCAGCATCCAAATCCACGTTTGGATCCCAGCAGCAGTTTCTCACCCATGCTGGGCTCTACTGACCATGGAACTATAGGGTTTGGGACTGGTCTAGACCATGATGAGGAGTTAGGACTGCCTACTATTCTCCATAGGTCTGCTCTCCTTCTTGGGGTGAGCTACTAGAAACTGAGGATTCAGATTCTGAAAATGACACATGGGTATCCTCTTGCTGATGGATGCCGGCACGTGACGATATACATTTATTCTGGCTGACGGCTGGAGCAGGGGCAAGTATGAGATGGTGGGACAGGCCCCAAGGTAAATAAAATAGGCACACCAGGGCCCCCAGGTGAGTGCCCTGGAAGCCAGGAGAGTGGACATCCATTTTCTCAATCATTCTGCCCATTTATTTTCTTTTTAATTACCCAAGGGCACATACACTCGCCAGATAGGCAGAAAGTACCCCCCAATAAGGCGTGGTTGTTGCCATCCCTTCTCTTGCATTTCTTCATCCTGTTGGGAATTTGAGCATGCACACCCTTGTGCCTGATTTTCCCCAAGCTACCAGGGCCAGGATTCAAACCACAACTGGTTAAGTCGGATCTGGCTCCTTTAACCACTAGGCTACGTGCTGGCCTCTACCAATTGCTTAACTAGGAAATCCAGGTTCCTGTCACGTGGACTGTCCTGCCGCAGTGGAAAAAAATGCCACTGAACTTGTCATATCTGAATGTTTGTTTTCTGGAGTCTCGTGAAAGCTGTGAAGATATGTGACTTTCTCTGGAACCTTCTAAAGTCCATGATTCATGGGGAGGAGGAAGGAGGCGGAGGTCAGCAGACTTTCCTCACACCAGTGGGAAGTGTGACTGAACCGAACCAGGCCCCAGAGAGCTTGTGCAAGGACACCGCCTGAATGGCTCCCAGGTCTTTGGGCCAGTCAGTGTCTAACCAGTGGTCAGAGCGTGGATTTGAGATTCCAAGTCATTAGCGGATGGGCAGCCGGAAGGTTTCAAAATACAGACACAGACATTACGAGCAATGGAAAATGAAGAACACTGTATTAATGTTTATTTCTAATTACAAGAAACAGAACATCAGTCCCTTATTTGTACAAAAATACCTGAAAGTTTACAATTAGGTTCACGAGCCAAACAGCTATGTACAGAGTACAGCAAAGCACACGGAATAAAGGTTTTGTCTCTCGGTTAATACCTTCTGCATACCCTGAAAACGTCGACACGTCAGGCCGTTTCACAGTCACGCAGTTCACACGGTGACATCACAAATCCACAAGGAGCTAGCCCCACCCCCAGGAAGGCGCAGCGATGGGTCCAGCGGTCAGGTATTAAGCGCAGAAAACAGAAGACAAAACACCTAGGCTGAGGCACATGTTTCTTCAAGGTTTAGCAAACAAAAAAAAGTCCTGGAACTCGAACACCGAACGTAACAGAGCTCACCTATTAAACTCGAATACTCAGAGCATTTGGCGTTTCCTTCTCAACTTAGTCTAGGTTGCTACATGGAGTTTTCATAGAAAAGAAAAATCACAGGCAGAGATAAAAAGTCAACAGGCTCCAAAACAACCCTGAGCTGTCCCCTTTACATTCATGTCAATTAAATACAAAAATAAAAGTCAAATGTCCTTCAGTCCCTGCGCAGCGGGGCAGACGCCCGCGGCTCCAGGGACCATGTGCAGGTGGAATCCCCACACACCCTGCGCCAAGGCCGGCAAGCTAGGGCTATGGGAGGTCTGGCGCCACCGCGGGCAGAGGCGGCTGCGTCTCCGACAATTCACTTCGGCTGGGCAAATACAAAAGACTACGTCAAACCAGCTACATACAAAATTGTGAGTCAGAGTCAAGCTTCTGTTCTCCTTTTAAATAAAATGCACGTTTATAAATAGGAAATACTGCAAAGACGAGCTGTCTATCAGAGAGGGACGATGCACGGACGGGACTGGTCTACGTGAACAAGGAAATCCTAGAGTTGTTTTTCTTGGAACGGTCTGACCTTAAACCGGTGAAGAGAAAAAGATGTCATGGGATCCCTACAGCGGAGCTCAAGGGAGGGAAGCTGACGGCTATGAACGTGAGAGTTACTTCATTGTCAATGGTTCCAAAGATGAACTGGCTGCGAAAGGAAGAAAATGCGATGGAGCATTGATAGTTAAAAACACATTTTACAAAAAAAAAAAAAAAAAAAAAAAAAAAGGAAAAGAAAACTTCATTGTG